AAATTTTCCGTGATGGCGATTGCAATGACCCCTTAGGCGAAAGGTTGAAGTAATGCATTAGTGATAGAAGTAGTAGTGTTAGGTCTTGCATGAAGTGGCCGAGGGGATGGGCTTCGAACCCCCGACCCAATAAGGCATCCGAAAAATGAGTAGACCTTTAAAACTCCGGGGTAGGCAAGCCATGTGTGAAGGATTTCGGGAGGTAATTTGGGCCTGATTGGTTGAGATTGGATTTGAAATTTGCATGGCAGGAGGTGAATGTACGTCAATAGACCTGACTTGTACCGACGAAATTACCTCGGCCACAAACTAGATGACTCAAAGCTTTCCATCAGCGAACGAAAAGCATGGTTGCCAGATTGACTGTTTAGCATTTGTATGCACTCATTTATATGGTGGCCGCAGCAAATTTATATTAACCAAAAAGACCTCAGTAACATCCATTTCTAAGAAGTACTGGTGGTGAAATAAAAGTACCACACGCAATGCGTGCTAGGGTTCGTTCTTTGGAACCGAACAAAGTGCACCCAGATTAAACCCGTTCACAGACCATGCTAGCTATGGCATGTATGTAAGACCACTCCTCATTCAGCCCAGTCTCCCGGTGGTATGTTTGAAAATAGGAACCCTGTACTTTGGAAAGCTTTATTTGCTCAGCATTAGTGCGCTGTATTGTCACCAGCACTAGGAATGCAGGTCAGTTATTCCCCTGCATTTTTCCGCTGGCATGCTATAGCCCCTGCCACAGCTACGCCACAGACGTCACTGTGGTATCTATTACAATAATAAGCCCCATTTCTTTGTCTCGAAAACTAGGACATTGTGGATGAAACCATGTTGTCTATTATCGCTGCAGATTATTTATTACAACTAATTAATTGTGCTTCATATTCAGGTGTTCTCACCATTGTTGCAGTTGTGAAGCACTACAAATATAGAAGATTAGGTACAACACCTGTGGTAAAGATGAGAGGAAAGAATACTGTATTTTTATAGTTACCCATACCAGGGAGACATTTGCGTTGCTACCTTTGCCCCATTTCTTTGTCTCTAGAACTAGGACAGTGTTAATGATAAAACCAAATTGTATATTATTTCTTCAGATTATTAATGGATTGTTCTTCATATTCAGGTGTTCTCACCATTCTTGCAGTTGTAAAGCACTTCAAATGTACAAGAAGATTAGGTACAACACCTGTGGTAAAGATGGGAGTGAAGAACCCATACCTGAGAGACATTTGTGTTGCTAGCCTCGCATAATCCCGTAGTTAATACAGAATGGCGTATTGATTAGTTTTTCGTTGACACGTTTTTTGCGGGCGCTGTTTGCGCAGGTGCTGCCCACGACGGAGTGCGGGCGGGCGCTGATGAAGATGATGTACTGCCCCTACTGCCAGAACATGCCGGAGGTCATGGCCTGCAACAACTTCTGTCTCAACGTCATGAAGGGATGTCTGGCCAACCAGGCAGACCTGGACCTGGAGTGGAATAACTACATTGGTAAGGAACTAAAACAGTCTGTCATAGTACACTCTAACACTCACAGTCACCACTACAACTTGTCGAAGACATTAAAGAATTAGAAGCTCTCAAAATAAATTGCAAGTATTAAAACTTTATAAAGGGATGTCTGGCCAACCAGGTGGACCTGGACGTGGAGTGGAATAACTACATTGGTAAGGAACCAAAACAGTCTGTCAAAGTACACTCTAACACTCACAGTCACCACTGCAACTTTTAGAAGATATTAAAGGTTTAGATGCTCAGACACATATTGAAGGGATGTCTGGCCAACCAGGCAGACTTGGATGTGGAGTGGAATAACTACATTGATAAGGAACCAACCTGCTCTAACACTTGTCACTTCAACTTATGGAAGGTATTCAATGCGATTTCAGGGCAGCAAAACTGGAAATATTCTGAATAAGGCAATTTTTATGATATTGACACGTACTGCTTCACATCAGCACATTTGAATCAGTATTTCATACTTTGGGCATTTAAGACTGCAGAAACAAGCCCCAAGTTGGGTCCTTTATTTTCTGGGTGGTACCCTAAAACTCAGCCCAGGGTCCTTTTAGTAACCATTTTTCTGTCAGAATTTTTGGATTTTTTGCTCTATGAGGGTCAGTATACATTAGGATAGTGTGGTTTCAACTCAGTATGTAGATAAGTGACTAGAATATTGGCTTTGAAATATTGGGTTTCCAAGCCTTAAAACTGCACTGGATGCCTTAAAAGATCTAGACACTCACACAAATATTGAGGGGATGCATGGCCAACATGATGGACTTGGATGTAGAGTGGAATAGCTAGCCATATCAGTAAGGAACCAAAATGGTCTGTTTAAGTACACTCATCACTTAACAAATAAAGATTTTGAAGCTATCAGTATCACAAACAGGAAAGGATTTTGGCCAACCAGGTAAAAAACCAACCCACACTACTATCACTAGACCAGTCCCCTGCTGTAGCACTTTCACAACTGTGTGACCCAAGGGCTATAGAAACCGAGATGGGAGCTCTAAATTTCGAAGGCCAATAATGGGTTGGAAACTGTTACAATTGTCTATGACTTAGCATAAGCCATGCCACCTTGAAGATATCAGAGAAAGGAATAAAGTATTTTATATAAATGGCACATGAGAATTTACTGTTATGTCCTCAATAACAAGACAGGGAGAGAGGAGTCATTTATCGAGCAACCCTTAGAAATTTTATTGATATTATGACAATCTCTTGTGGAAAGATAAATTTGAGGGATTGTAGAAAGAACTCGAGAGACTTGTTATTTTTCCTCCTAGGCAGACAAATTTCAGTTGTATTCAGTACTGGTATTAATATTTTTCAATATTGGTGCTCCCAAATCTCTTATCTTGTGGAAATTGATGATAGAATATGGAAAATTGGTCACTTTATATTTCGAAAGTCACCTTGTACATTTCAAAAGATATTGCACAATTTGGCTGACTTACTTCTATAAATTCTATTCTATCGAGTCTTTATCTGCCACAGTGTATAGTTTTAGAGATATTTTTGTTGAAAGATTTGAAAAAGATCCAAATTCCTGGTGTCTTTCCCAATATAAATGGACCAGTGTTTTGTGGAAGGTGACATTCGACTTTATGAAGTAACTTGGGAAATAAGCTTGAGGCAGTGTTGGGACTCATACTGAGTCTTAGCAACATGATTTGATGGAGTACAGCCCCTCGCAGATGTCTATCCCCTCTCTAACAACCTTTTCCACTGGCTAAGTCCTTGAGTCATGTTTGATGTCTTTGGCAAAGCCTTCAAGACTCCTTAAACCTGGAGTAATATTTCTCACGTGGTGGGGAAGACACCAAACTTTGATGGCATATCAGGTGCTCACTAAAGCATGCCTTATGTAAGGGACACCTCCCCCACAAAAAATGGTCAATCAGGATTTTATAGATGATGTCTTCTGGAGACAGTAAATCTTACTCTCCAAGCAGAGGTTTGGGTTTGGGTTATTTTTAGCATGTTTTTAGGCTTTTCTATCAGGCCTCTTTCACATAAAGGTTGGATGAAACAAAAATTCCAGTGCAAAAGAGAAACCTCGATATAAAAACCTAAAAACACGCTAAAAATAACCCTAAACCCAAACCTCTGCTTGGAGAGTAAGTAAATCACAAATGACAGGGTAGTAGAAAAGCAAAGATTTCAAGTTTGAAAGTTAAGGTATTGACAAATGTTGAAAGTTGAATAGAAAAAGCAAACTTCAAAAGTCTTTTTGCCAACTGGGAAGAAACAATTTTCACTGGCTACATGAATTGTTGCAATCCTTCTGTCTTGTTCACAACGACTCGATTTGTATTCTGGATACAAATATACTATAGTCACCAACCTTCGCATTCAACAAGATATACATGTATTCAGGAAAAAGTTGCAGGAATGGATGAGCTTGGGTTCGGATGAAACTATTCATGGGTGCAGCGCAGCCATCAAACAAGAGTTTGTGTGGCCCAAGGGTGTCTCGCTCGGCTACCCAACCACGTCAGCCATCCCTCTCCTCCACCCACATCCTGCTCCCACTGAGCCAAGAAATATCTTAAGAAGTCCTGAGGGGGGTTTGGTGTCAGAGGGTCACACCTCGAGATCACCTGAAGAATGGGAGAACCCAGACAAAGAGAAGGATATTGATACAGGGTTGAATTCGGGTCACTGTCAAAGCCATTGTCAGGGAGTACCTTGCTCCAAGCCATGACCTGGGCAACATGAGGGATTTCTAACTGTTTCTTTTTGATAATGAGAAGTTTGAGACTGAGAAATTGACAGTAATATCTGCGAGAAGTAATGCACATGATACTAGTACTCTTGCTCGCTCTTTGAACTATGGATTGATTTTTTAAAAGAAAAATATGAAACAAACGGCAATGGTACAATGGAAAAGACGCATCTCTTGAACACTGCTCAATGTCAAGACTAAAAGTTTTGGATGAGTTGGAATTTTAACGTGGTTCAACGCCCTTGTAAAGATGACCTTGCCATCAGGTGGGGTCTGTCTTGGCAAGCCCGCCAACTCATCCAGCCAACTCATCGCTTTGCCCCGCTCAAAAGTATTTGAGAACTCCTTGGATTTACGACTAGAAGACCAAACATACAGAAAGGTAGAGTTACCCTCGACCTGTAAAACTGGAGTTTCGGCTGATTGAAAGAAAACAAGGTTTATGACTGAACTGGCTTCTGGGGATAAGGGCGAGGGGAAAGTGTGTGCAGCTGCTTTTTTATTTGCCACAGGCTTGCTTCAGAACACGAGGCAGTAGTTTAGTTTTGGCCGGACCACTCATATTTTAGAGGCGACACACTGCCACCCCCCTCCCGGTGCCCTAAAGTTATGATCAACTCAAAGATTAAGTCTTGAAGTCAGTCACCACGTGGTGACTGTTGTAATGACTTGCTAAGTGCCTGGTGGCTGCAAACTTCAGAAAAACACAAACAGACCCACTTAAGATAGAGTCTTCTATTTGTTTTCAGAGTAATATGTAACAAAAAGCGGAACAAACAAGAGATTTTAAAGAAACAAATATGCCAGAGTCTTCCCGCCTCTCCCTAGATCATTAAGGTTTTTATGCCAAAGTTAATATTTCTCCTTTTTTTGTGAAGACATCTGTATGAAATTTATGTTTTTAAAAATTTTGTGTTGTATGGTACAATGTACTGGTTAGCTATGCCACATATTGACAATAATGGTAGATTCTGTTCTTAAAAGTTGATTCTCTCTTCCTACAGACGCTATGCTGATGGTGGCTGACAGATTAGAGGGGCCTTTCAACATTGAGTCCGTTGTGGACCCCATCGACGTGAAAATCTCCGACGCTATCATGAACCTACAGGAAAACAGCATCACTGTCTCCTCCAAGGTTAGTTTTCTTTCACTATATTTCCCTACCATTTTGAAAAAAAAGGAAACATTCTGAATACTACTAATGGGAGGCTGGATGAAATGTTTTGCATTTGCTTGCAGATGTTTGCTTTCCAGTATACAACCTGTTTATATTCTCTGGTTTTGGTTACTAGGAGATGTGCGTGTGTCAACTGTTGAAGTAGGGGACGGATGGTCAGATTTCAAAGACCCATTTTGACACTCCTGTATTTTCTTATCTGGAACGTGTTCCAAATTTAACAAGGCCAAAGCCCTAAATAGTTCCAGCATGGCGAGGGTTGTTTCGGAGAAAGTTCACGGAAAGTTTGAGTTTTGGGTTAATCCAGGATGTGCGGTTCAACACGTATCACTGGTCACTTGAACTTTGCTCACCGACGTCGGAAGCCTACTCTAGATTAAAGTCGGTGCCACATGTATGGTAAAAAGAGTATTTTATGATACCTTTGTTTATGTCATAACAGATACAGTCATCAAGATATTTGACTATCAAATCCTACTTTTTAGTTGCTGTAAGTGACTGACATTCTGTGTATTTGGGGCCCCTTTTTGTGAAATACAGAATAGCTGAGTGTTATCGATAGTATTGACTGTTGGCCCTGGGAACCAGAGGGAAGTTCCCACCATGTGGCGCTCTTCAAAACCACTTGTCTTCCGCCAATCCCTTCGCTAAACAATCCCAAATATTTCAAGTCAACCACTAAATAACCCAGGAATGCCGAGTGGGTGGACTCTCCTCCTGATGGCTACAGTTCCACATTTGTTTGCGCATCACTTCAAGTCCCTGAAGAGGTTTTAACACTGCTTGAATCCTGTGCTAGACTGCTGAGGGCTGCAATCTTCTAAAGAGGGAACGTAACTCAAAGCTGTTCCGGGTATACCAAGCGGATTGCGCTCAAGTGCCGTGTTGACTTTCATCATAAAAAAAGTTTCAGTGTCCAGAGTGGTGATTTATAAGGGAGGGTCAAGTGGATGGCAGACGGGGTAAAGCTTGACCGGAGGGTTTAGCCGCCCGCTCGAGATTCCATGGCAAAGGGTAACGAGGCAAAAATTTCACAAACAGGAGCTGCCCGCTAATTAAGTAGCGGCGACTCAAGTGGTTGGGGATCTCCGGTGGTTCTTCAGAGGGTTACTTCAAAGTGTGTTGGATGTAGGCTGGTTAAAGTGATAAGAGAAAGGTGCATTTTAACATGCTTGTCGGTCAGTGCTTTGTGCTAAGCGGCCAGTTTTGATGCCACAAGAGATTCTTTTGTTTCCCTGTTTGGACTGATTCTCTGTAAATCGTTTTCTGGACTTGACCCTAGTTTAGTGGAAGCAGGGCAGAATTTTTATTCCTGTACTAGTGCAGGTTATAGGAAAAATAATCTGCACAATACCTATGCAGCATGCTAGCAGTGTTAGGAGTTTCCTACATGGCAACTTTTAAATTATGAAGTTAGGAAGTAACTTTGGGTTACATGCTAAGTACTTCTAGGGAATGGCTATGTGGCCATTCATGAAGTATGGAAGCCATTCTCCCTTTAAAACTGTTAACGTTAAACAAGACAAGGGGCTCGTTCGGTCCAAAGAGCCCTAGACAGAAATTAAGGTAACAAGACTTCATACTGATGCGGTTCTAACGACATTGGCTTGGTAGCGATAGGGCCATCTCCCAATTGGATTATGGGTAATTGTCGCCGGCGATGGTATGTTGGTCACCCATGAATCCACGCTAACTGACACATCTCGACAGGCTTTCAAACGTTTAAAAAGGGGCGAAAATGAGTCCCCTTCACATAATGTTGTTCTTCAAGGCTAAAAGCTTCATTCCTTCCTTTGAAGTGGCACTGTTGATTGTTTCTATATGGGAGGCGGAAAGTGATAGATTCCTGTTGTTGGGGATTCGGACGGTTCTTTCAAACACTTCGCACTGAAGCAGGCCTGGAAATGAACTTTTCTTCCTTTTGCTCCAGCACTTCCCAAAAATAAATTCCAATTGTCCCAAAGTAAGGATGAACTGTCCCAGCCTATTTTTTGGGGAAGTATTGTATGACTTCAACTTGAAGTCAACTTTATTTTGCTTATGTTCACTCCCAGGCACACCAATTGCAGAGTAGATCGGAAATTCGGGGGGATATTTCCGGATCCAAAGCCGGGACGCGTGCCTGATAAACAAAAGAAGGGCTGACATTCTGATGTTGATTATTGTTCTGTTGTCCAAAAATGTCCCAAAGTCTCTTTTTAGTTGTCCCAGCCTAAATTTTAGTGGTCAGTGGCCACTGGACCACCTTTAGTTTCGAGCCCTGTGAAGAAGGAACAGACAAATCATGTCGTCACTCGGAGCGGAAGCTCTTTGTGATGTCAACAATGGTCGATAAAAATATGGGGGACCAGAGATAGCCAACACAAACATGGAGAGGGAATCAATGTGGTCGGAGGGAATGTGGGGCCATTGATGTATAAATAAAAACTCTTTCATGGAAGATTAGGTAAGGGTAAATCACTGGTTCTTGGAAATGACCCCAAACTTGAGAGTGCTCCAAGAACATACCATGTTGAAGGCAGCAGAGTTTTTCGCTATTTCTTTTCCCTTACTTGCTATCCCTAAAAAAAATGATCTACATGCTTGTAGATAAAATGATCTACAAAAAAAATGATCTACATGCTTGTACATGCTTCTAGATAAAATGATCTACATGCTTGTATTTTACAATGTAAAATTTAAAAAGAGACTGCTTGAAATTTTGGAGGATTATACTCTTTGACTCTTTGGCGGTGATACTGAAAAAGAATCATTTTGAAATTCATGAGTCTGATAGCAGATATTTTCTCTTTTATTTCACTTCTTGCTTAGAACAGTGGCCAGAACTATAGAAACTCTTTAATAGAATTTATGATATTCTAATAAACCCTTGTAAAATCATAGGCTTTAAGCCTTCGAATCCCTGCTAATTCTTGTAGGATGTGAATGAATGTCCTCTATACATGTTCATGTCTTCCACTTGGCTACAGCAGCTGTATCATTTAAGCACAATTTGGCTGACCTTCGTAGTCACTGTCTAACTTGTCAGGACATCGGAATGTTTGTACACTTAGTCCTGTTTGACCCTCATGCAACAACATGGCGGGAAGAAAAAAGACCCGCTTGCTGTTTCCATAGCGATTATATGGGATACCGGAGAATTTGGGCGAGGTCAGAGCGGGAGTTTTGTCAGGAAAACAAAGCGAGGGCCGGTTCCAGGTGTTTGATGGTAATGAAAAATAGATTAAACGGCAGCTGGGATGTGTCTAATATGAGATCTTATCATACATATGCCCCCTGGCCTTTGTTCTACTGTTCTTTTGTCTGTTTGGATTTTCTGATCTCATGGTTAAGTAGAAAACAACATGATTGCATGGCAGATGATTTAGATGATTTCAGATTGTGATGAGGTAAAAGAAAAATGGAAGAAAATTTCCTTGTGGTAGGAATTTGGGATTTTCTGATCTCATGGTTAAGTAGGAAACAACATAATTGCATGGTAGATGATTTAGATGACTTCAGATTGTGATGAGGTAAAAGAAAAATGGAAGAAAAAAATTTCCTTGCCGGAGCCTCAAGTGCCAGGTTCATTTCTCCGGGCCTCTGTGGATTGATGATGAAGATGACAGGTATGGATTCATCCCTGGTTCCCCATTCGTCATGTGTTACCCTCTGGCATAATAACGTCCCCACCAGCAGAAACCCATCCTTCACAACAACTTGTTGGCGTTTGAACTAATCTGCTCAAGATTGCCTGAACGCCGCCATTACCCTACGACTATGGCAAATTTGCGTGGCAGCATCATCTCTGGTATAATAGAAATCACTTGGAAATGAAACGACATTAGCAGTGGCCGGCCTTGCTATTAAAGTGGCCTCAATCAATACCTGCAATATGTGTCCCAGGTAAGTAGGGCCCAGGACACTGTCTTCCATTACTGGAGGGCGCGGGAAGAAAACCAAATTAGGTCGCGGCACGCCGTCGTCTTACACGGAGGGATGATCACCGGATCATAAGTCAGAGGCGTGTGTACTATTAATGGCGATGCTCGCTATAATGTGCGGTCCGGGCCGCGGCGGAATGGAAGTATTGATCGCCGCGGACAAGACCCCCTGTCACGGGTGTAAGAATAGCGAGCGGATCATGACGGATGAACGAGTTAAAAGTTATGTTACTACCCGGGAACAAGTGTAACCAATGGTTACAGGGTTCCCGGGGTGAGCGATAACTTCCCCGCGCCGCGCCGTATCGTAACCGGCACCCGGAAAACGCCGCTGCCTTTCCAATTCTCCCGTCCCGCGCCTCTCCGGGTATTGATTTGCACAAGTTGTTGGCGCAGAAGTGCTTACAGTTGCAGCTAGCTGAATGGAGAGATTGCTGATTTGGGAGTGGTGAAATGGAAGGTAGCAGGGGAACGCTGTAATAGCACTTTTGGCAGCGAGGTCTGATGGAAATCCATTAGTAAGCGAGTTACGGATTCAGGAATGGTAGTTAGGAGGCCAGCACGGAATTTTTAATTCATGGTATGCCTTTCATTATTTTTTCCTCTTGCAATATTGCCTAAGGCGTTATTGTAGATGCTCTTTGAATTCTGGTCGTATTGCATCCCTGTCCGACTACATCAAGCTTGATGACTTGGCACTACTGTACTAACATCAGAGCTAGGTACTGGCAATGATTCTTGCCGTTCCAATTCAAACCTATTAAAGTCAACTGCTAATGTTTCCTCACAGAACCATTTACAGCAATCAGAAACGTTGATGGAAAAGTTGCAAAGTGAATTTGCTCCTGCTTGTAATTACATTCTTGCCATTCTGGGTTCCAAATACCAACCTGCCATTTCGTAGGACAAACAAAATCACATTTTAGCCTAGTAGCAACCTACCAAAGCCTAGAATGCTTGTAGTATTTTGTAAAGGCGTACAGTTCACAAATTTCATCAGTCCAACCAGAAAAAAAGTATTTCGATCTCTGTCAT